TAAATGCAGCCACCCAAGTTTATAAGTATCACTATTGCAATATGTTTTGTGTATGTTTTGAGTTTGTTTATGCATTGTGTAGTGGTACAAAAATAAACCCCGAGCAATAAAGTATTATTTTATCGTGAATCGACGACGCTCGACGATTATCAGATTATTTTATCTAGATTAAAGACTATTGTCATTTGTCAAATCTATCCTATCTTATCCTATCCTACTATTTTTCCGTAGTCCTATTGAACTAAAAATAACTTATCGATTTGTAAAATTAATCGAAATTTATTCCATGTCTCATGTGTACATAAATATATAGCTCTGAATTCTGAAAGGTGCTTATAATAAATACTTTTGATGTTTTTTACGGGGAGGGGGGGGTATAGGTAAAATGTTAAAACATTTTATCCCCCCCCCCCACACAAACATAGCCAAATTACGCCACTGCTATGGTATATAAGTACATATGGTACACATATGGTATACATTACACACCTATGTCCTATATAACTTATATTTATTTACAATACAAATTAATAGGTAATATCAGGTCGAGGAGGAATTATCATTGGAGAAAGTAGAGAACCTACAAATCATGAAAAAATTAATTGAGGGTGAATCTTCGACCCACTTTCCCAGGATATTTTTAAAAATATGATTTAAATTTTTTTCCTTCATATAAAAACTAAAAATAACCTTATTAATTATAATAATTTAATAGTAATTATTTTCATAGTTTAAAATACACACACAATTTGACCTTTTTTTTGGTAATAGTTGGTTTATTTATATGACCTTCATAATAATGGATTAAAATAGTCGTTTGAGGTTAAAACATTGTCAAAATAGTTTGAAATTGTGTAACTTAATAAACTCAGTAAATATTTACCAATTTAACATGGCTAAAAGCGTAAAACTATGGAAAACTTGAAAAAACGTAGATAGGTTGTTATTTAACAACATTTCACAAAATTGTATTACTACCAACTGGTTGCTATTGCTATGAACATTTATTGTATAAATAAGTTATTGTGTTATACTTAATACTATATAACCTATTAAACAATTATATAGATACTAAACTTTATGGTAAATGAGACAAGCTCATGAACTATATATTACGTATAACCAATTTCCAATACATATCAACCAATAAACATTTCTGTAATCACGTGAATACGTGATATTCTACTTACTTGATTTAGAATAGACAAGAACGACTTTGAAATAATATGATATTGTCTATTTCCAAATTGAATAGGCTATAGAATTAATCAAAACTATTAAAATACATAGTATTTACACCTCAGTATTAAAAAAATTGTTAGTCGTTAATAATTTAAAAAACTTTTATTTATCCAAATTTGCAGTTAATAATATATATATTGGTTAGGTGATATTATGAAGCGTTTTCTTTTTTGAAAATAGTACTAATTAAATCCCGTAATTCATCGTTGTTTTGTTTTTCAGCTTCGAGTCGTTTTTCCAACGATACTTTGTGAATATTTTCAGTATCATAGCTATTTAATATGTTCAACAAGTCTTTCTTCTCCTTCTGGAGTTGAGTGATACTATTTTCAGCGATCTTCATGCGCCTCTTATTTTCATCCAACTCAATTCTGAGAGCAATCATCTTGCTACAGTGGTTTGATGACGGAGGTTTCTTTACTTTCTCATTTAATTTACGGTCTAATACGATGCCGAACTTTTCCATACATTCCTTTGAAGAAGCGAGTAGTTCCGAAGCAATTAGTTCCCAATCATCACCAGCTATTTTTAACACCGAGTTGACATGAACCTTTACACCTTCAAGATTTTTAAATTTACGATTGTCCATGATTTGAGTCAAACATTGGTAGTAAGTATTGTTAATGCTGACCATGGAAACAATATTTTGCCAAAAACGTTTGCCCATTGTGCTCAAAATTGCATCTAACTCGAGCGTTCCAGTTTTGAAATCAAAATTATCGGATTTCAACATATGTTTATCTATTTCCAGTGGTTTCTGATTATTTAATAATATGTCGGCATTCAAAACTTCAAACACATGATTTTTTACCTATAAATTTTGAATGATAAAATAGTTTAAATAGCAGTAATCAAAAATTAAAATAATAATATATTTATTTATAGTCTAACATCATTGAAAATACATATACGTATTTACTGTACATTTCAAATTTCTTTACTCGTATTATAATATAAGAATCAAAATATTAATAATAAATAATAATTTTTATTTTGCCTTGAAATGATACATAACGTTCAATATAGGTATATTAGATTTGTAATTTGTATAAATATCTAATTAAAAATAAAGRTTGAAATCAGTTTTCAATTTTAACTATTTCAGGATTTTAATTGATTCTGAATAATATTTTGATAATTATAATATAACAATAGTCTAATAAGATTATTGAGGATGTGCGAAATTGAATTTATTTACATCATATAGGTATTCATTAAAAATACATTTATGTGATTTATTGTATCAGCATCGTGAAATTTAAATAATATAATATAATCATTATAATCTTACGACATTTTCGAAATGTTCCACCTGCTGTGAGTCACCTTCCATTTTTATGCAATCGTTGTATGAAGTACACAGATTTTCACAAGCATTAGAAAATGATTTCTTCTTAGCGTTGAAGTCGTTTACTTTAGCATTTAGTAATTTGTCTTGAAACGACTTGTGTTTTTCGATCAGAGCTTTTACCTTTGAACATCTTTCAGTAGGTTTCTGCTCCTGTTCTTGGACCGCTTTGCAACTTTTGTAAGATCTTAGTGAATCATTTTCGGATGTAACTAATATGGGAGATGTCAATTCAATGCGAGGCAACGATTTTGTTTTATCGACAGTCACACCAGGTTCAAGTTTCGGCATGATCGTAATAATACCTACTCGTAGACTGACGGTTCTTCGTTGTATACGGGTTTTTCACAATATTCCTCGCAGGACAGGTACATATACATTTATTTACGTAAATTGTTTGATGGAAATAGAATAATATAAAAACCAAGAGAAAAAAAATGTTCAAAATTCGAATTAATAAAACACACGCTGTAGGTATGGTAATTAATATTAGTATTTGTAAGTACATTGTATATTATACTAGTTATTATATATATTTTTATGTTTATTTTATCAAAAAACACGCGATTCTTTCGCGTACATAATAATATAATGACCAATTATCAAACAACCTATCCAGCAGCACTGTTTTAGCACTTATCTAATGTTTTTCCGATAGGTAGGTACCTATTTTACAATATTAAAAAATAATAATTGTGATAATTGTTATTAACGCCGACAATATTCGTGGTGTACTTATTATTGAATGTTGTGCATTAAATTATTATATATTATGTATTATAATATTATAATACATTTTAATAATAATCTGCACGTGAGGCTGTGCAAAGAGTGATGTTGAAAAGCTTCATGTCCAAACTCAATAACCTTCTACGTATGAAGAAACAATATTATGCTATTTTATTTTATATAATAACTATAATAATATTATAGCTGCTGCTTACTGGTTAATCGAATCGATTCTTATGGTATGCCTTGAAAAATGCAGACCGTAGGGTTTTGTGCAGTTGATAAAACCGTATTATAAGTAGTTACCTATATTATTTTAGGTATGCCTAATCGTTATCTTTATCTACAAATTTGTCTACATTTAGTGACCATTTATAATTTTGGTATAAGTTTATGAATGTTATATAAAAATAGTAACCTAGTTTAGGCCGTATTTTAATATTACCAAACTTAATAAGTGTGTTTTACTCAGAGCTTCATTTGAACATTTAAGGTTGCTACCTAGGTGCCTAGATATTATAATAATATAAGTGTTAATTTGAATTTTGAGAGTGGTAGATTTTATTTCAAACGTAATATTTTATAAGTTATAAGTTATATTATTAGATTTTGAAGTGAATAAAACGTTGATAAGTTAATATAATATAAAGGCTATATTTGAAATACAAATTTGAAAAGTATGGTGTGAATAAATGATTAACTATAAAAGACGGAAAAGCGAGAATTATCACACCATACCTAAATTTAAGGAACGCTTAAATTTGTGTGACCAGAACATATTTATTAAAGAGACAAATCATAATTATGCACCAKATTCAGCAAAAACTGAAATTAACTACGTGATTGGCCAATTAAAAGAAACGTCTATCGCAATTTGCAAACACCTGAATTGAGACCACGAGAATTTCAAAGATCACTCATAATTAAGTAGATAAACTAAATTTTAACTTTATTCTCATCTTATTATACTTTGTATAACTCATGGGGAACAACCGTAGGTAGGAATTTACTATAAATTACCTATTTTCAATTTAAAAACCACACAAATGTTATTTCCATGTTGTCAATCTTAAGCTCGTGATCCTATACGTTTATACAAAAAGTATTGTTTTGATGCAGTTTATTATTGATTATATTTATATATTTAGTTAAATATTTGTAATGTTATGATTTAATGAACTTTTCCAACATTAGCTAAATCAATTTTTTTTTAATCATATTAGTATACTATTTTATTAATTTAATAAAAAAAAATGCATCAGCAGTGATTATACTATTAAAAATATAATATAAACGTTATATTGTGTATACATAAATTATTAAAATAATATATGATAATATATATATGGTATATTACGGTGTAAATGGTTATGTTTATTTTATTTTTATTTTTGCAAACAAAACATAGACACTTATTAGATACACTTCACCTCGCAGCTTACCTACACCAATGCGGTTCATACTAGATTGTACCGAGATTTATAGATACGTAGGTACTACTTAATGCTTCGTCCTATATAACATGTATATAACCTAAACAATATATTATTATACGTCGTTATAACTGTGTTACACAGTCTGTGTAACAGAATTATTGTGTTAGGATTGTATTCTTTGATCAGCACGATGCACATACCCGATTACCCGAAATAATAGGTATACAATATATACATTATATTTACCCTATATTGGGTGTGGGAATATCCGGAAAGGGTTGGCACACCGTTTCGTTTTTCGCACACCCACACACGGTGATATAATATAATGCACCGGGTTCGTCTCTCCATTATTTCGCGACACACATTTCRAAGAACCGAGTGCTGTTGACACAAAAAATATTTATAAAATACACAAAACCAAACCAAACCAAAACCGTCACAAAACACGGAACGATATTATTTATGAAATGTAGCATATTCTCACGGAAATCGTACGTTTGAAAAGGTTAAAATCCTGTGCAAACCACCGTAGTTTCATCATTCATGTATACGCGGCGGGCGTGGGAACATCGTCGATGCGGCTGCAAATATATAACATTAGATATTATTATTATTATGAGCAGTATGATATTATTATTATTATTATTGGGCTACAGTCGGGTGATCGATATTATTGTTATTCATATCTCAGTCATGATGTGTATACCGGTGATATAAGCGTTATTTATTATTGTTGTTGTTATTGTTATTGTCGACGCCTTGCTCATCGATTAACGGCTGCATAATAATACAATTATATGCATCGATTCGCGTAAATGGTTTTATTCGCAAAATCGCAGTCAGATTATATTATAGGTAGGTATACTAGCTTAGGGTTGGTTTGTGATATCTTATAATTTTCACCGAAATAAAAACGTAGTTTTTAACCTATACGCGAAATCGAAAATAACGTACTAACATAATCGATTCCGACAAAAGTAAAAGTCATCTCATGTTCGTTTCAGGAGACTTCGGCGGTGGTGTATAAAGATGCTAATGATTTTTAATCCTTAGGCACACGCAGGTTCCAATAAATGTAAAATAATAATATATATATATTATATTATTATATATGTGTGTATGTGTTTACGATATAATGGATTTTCGTTACGTTTATATTACACGCGATAAAAATCGTACCCTTATAATATATATTTTTTCAACCCCAAAAAACAATATAGGCAGGTACCAATGATTTATTGTGCTTTTCTTAATCGAATTTTTTTTCATCCCTTTTTTATAGGTTTAATAGTTAAGCTTAATTGAACAATATATTATATATATCACTAGGGATGCACACCTCCCTCCCATGTATATAGTAAACACATAATTATATTATTTAGAACTTATACTATATTAAACAGCTAGATATTTCGCATAATATAAACTGTTAATCGTTTCATTTTCCATTGCATAATACGCAGGTACTAAAAAACAATATTTACTATTAGCGATAATATTAATATATATATATAGTGATTCACCACGCATGCTCATTATGTTATAGCTCGTCAATAATACGTTCATTGAAATCTGTTTGACTTTTCTGCTTAATTATTGGATAATTTTTCCAAAAATATTGAAGCCATCAAGATCAAAACTGGGGGTGGAGTGGCCGAGCAGACTAAGGCGTCGGTTGCGACGCACGCAGTCGCCGGTTCGAATCTCCGTCACGGGCGGCATCGCTCTTTGGGCATTTCGCGATGTCTGGAGAGAGAGGCCGCCGGCCCCCAACCGGGCATGGCAGAAACCCAAGGGTGCCCATTCAAAATTCTGCCAAAAAAAACCCACGAGTTAAAACCTTACAGTACCTTCCCCTACAGTTCCCCAGGCTAATGACCACAGTTGTCGAAGCCCTAACCATAAAAAAAAAGACCAAAACTCAAACCAGTAGTTTTTCATTATTTTGCTACGTGGTGTACGTATGTGCTGATTTGGGAGATATGGGTTTTTAAGGTGTTTGGTAATTTGGATATATTAGTAATATTAATATTATTCTATCAAAAATCAAAATAAATAATTTGTTAAAATAGCCAGTATAATAAATGCTTGATCTAATTTTATATCTATTATATAGTTTTGTAAGACTTTTTTCAAGGACTTATATAATATGTACTTAGTAGATCATAAACATTTTAATAACCCAGAAACTATTAGTTGTTTTTAAAGGTTCTAATTTGAAAACTAGAAGTTTGTGTTACCGCGGCAATCTCCATAAGTCGTATAATAAATCTAAAAATTTGAAAATATAGTCTGTAAAGATTGAAGGTAGTACCTATAATAATTCCAAAAAACAGAATTAGAATAAATACATTTTTAATGGAAAATATGAAAATACGGGGTTGACCCTGCTTGATAAATCACTGTGTGTAATGTAATATTATTAGGTACGTAGGTATTTGTAACCGTAAAAAGGTTTGTGAAAATTGAAAGTCGTATAAGACAATTTAGATAATATAAAAACATGTCATTATACGACGTAAAAAGTGTAATAGTATATTAATAAACAGATAGTTTTTTTTTCCATTTGTAGTACTACTCCATTTTTTAAATGTATTGTTTTGTTCATAATGTAATTGCTCTTCAAGTCCTCGGGCTTAGATAAAGCCACATATGTACATAATATGTCAAATAATAATTTAATATAACGCAATTCGTGCAATAAAATGTACCTACTCGAGTATTAAACAGGTGTGTATAGGTACTCGTATACTAATTATTTATATTTTAATATTATGGTTAAATATTATATTACTAACTGTGCAGCCGTAACTGTAATCTGTGAGTGACTTATTAGTTATTACTAATAATTACATAGTAGATGATTACTTAATAATTACCTATATTGTTATTTCAATAATTTTTTGGTTGAGTGGATAACAGTAGTCATAAGTATTTAAATATTTTTTTTCTGGCTGGTTCAACAATATTGTCTGTATGCCTCTTATAATGTTTACTTGGCGTGGTGAGATTATACATTCGTAAATTTAATCTGGGATAACGATTAACGAATTATAATATCGTAAATACAAAATAATTATATGACCAAACGGTTCAAAGTGTTCACATGTCACAAAAGTGACA